TGAGGGCCGCGGCGGGGGAGGCAGCCGCAGCCCTCCTGGCACACGCCCCGAGCAGCCCTTGCCCCCCAGGCTACAGAAGGCAAAACACACACACACATACATACATACACACGTGCACACGTTTGTGTCTATGGGCACATGTGCATGGTGGCAAACACACATGCATACACCCACCTATGCATTGCATACACACCCACACTGGTGCACACATACATGCACATGTGTGTGCACGCACACACCCTCACACCCCCCCCCCTCTAAGTTGGTTGTTTCTTTTTTGTCCCCATCTCTTTCTTTTTGGTGTTTATTACTGCCCCCCCCCCCATCTCCCACCACCTTCCTCTGCTGTAAAAGCCCCTTTGCATTGACAGGCAAGGTTAGACGAACACAGCTACAACCAACCCTTTGCATTCCTCCTTTCAGACTGCAGTGGAGCCAAGAGCAACTTGCTTAAGCCTTGAACTTTTCTCTCTACCTTCGAATCCTAAGTGTCAAGCAGAGGCTGGGGGGGGTGGAAACAGGTGGGCCAAAGGGAGCAGGCATCTCCCCATGGTGCAGTGGAGCAGGGTGTGGGGAGGGCAGGGCCGAGGGCAAAGAGGCCACATGATGGCCACTTTGGAAATGCAAACTCCTAATAATAAAAAAGTGATGGGAATCGGCAAAGATCAGACTGTGTCCAGGTCTGGGTGGGAGAGAGCTTTCCCTTTGAGGCCTCTCATGCTGCAAAGGATTAAATTTGCTACTCAGTTTTTTTTTTAATGTTTGGCTTTATAAATGCACAGGTATGTTTTAAAAAAAAGAAAAGAAAAAAATATAGTACGGAGACATTATACATTTCCCCCCCCCCCTAAAGTAAATTAAACGTTGCACCTTATTTTGAACTGGTTTTCTATAGTAGGGTCTCTAAGTTCCACTTGGTAACTTGCACTTGTTTAGAGAGCCCTGTATTAGTTCTTTGTCCGGGATAAGGGGGAGGTGGCAGGAGGTTTTAGTACCTATGCAAGCACTTTATTGAGAAATGGACTATGAATGAATTAACCTTGAGCCCAATCCTTCAGTGCCTTGTGCACCTCCAGTTGCCATTGGCTTCAGTGAGAGTTTTGGGTATGCAAGGGGAAGAGGATCAGATCCATTACATAATTTCTTTAGCTAAGGTCTGGTGGTATGGCAAGTGCATTTGTTCTCCCCTGCCCCCACGTCCTGATTTAATTCATTCTGTCCCTGAGTTTTTCTAACCTTACTGTATAAAATGAATGTTTCTGCACTGAACTAAAAAAAAAAGCCCCGAACTAATTTTATCCTTAATTATGGATTATTAAAAAAAAAACAACCCAAAAAACTAGAGGAAATAATTAAACGTGTCTGATTTTAATTAGAAATGCTTATGGGATAAGGTCCCATGTGGTTTTTCTGTTTCCAAATATCATGATTTCCTTTTCTGGGGCTATAGTAGGCACCAGATAATCACACAGATAAAGCTTTTTTAATAAGGCTTAAACCAAGACCTTGCCTAGATATTTTTAGTTTGTTGCCAAGGTAGCACTGTGAGAAATCTCACTTGAATGTTATGTAAGAGGTGAGACACAACAGTCTGACTATGGGTGAATAAGTATCCTGGGTCTGTTAGTCAGTTTGGTGCATTTGCTGCTGCTGTTGCTACTGTTTGCCTCAAACGCTGTGTTTAAACAACGTTAAAAAATCTTACTAGCCTACAGAGTGGCTGTATGTAAATAGTTGTTAATACATCCAATTAATGATGTCTGACATGCTATTTTTGTAGGGAGAAAATATGTGTTAATGATATTTTGAGTTAAATATCTTTGGGGACGATTTGCTGAAAAAGTTGCACTTTTGTTACAATGCTTATGCTTGGTACAAGCTTATGCTGTCTTAAATTATTTAAAAAAAATAAATACTGTCTGCAAGAAACCAGCTGTTTTAGAACAGTTTTTAGTATGTGATATATTAGAAATCAATCTTTATATTCAGTATTTCCAGCACTCCATGAATTCTATTATCTAAATATTTCCACGCTATTTTGTGATTTAAAAAAAAAAATTCTCACTAAGGAATAAAAAGTTTAATACACAATACGGGGTTGTCTAATAATTAAAACTCCTACATTAATAAAATAGATGCATAGAAAGCCTTAAAAACGTATGATTGCATGAATGTAGATAGCAACTTCATTTCTTTTCACAGCTTTAACATGGGTTTGAATTTGCTTAGTTTTCTTAGACTGATTGAACAGATTATTTTAACAAATTATTTTGTAGTACATTTTGTACATATCACAAGGCATTGTATAGCATACATATCCATGCACATGCATTTTAACATGCATTTTAACATAACTTTGAAGTTTTCCTTTATTTTTCCTTGTAAAATATTAATTAAGGTCATACAGGCTAACATCATTCACGCTACAGATACTGTGGGTACTTAGTCATCATTCACAGTAGTCAAATTTCAAGCAAGGTTTTTACAACAGGTTGATGGCACAAATATCAAAGATTGGGGAAATTTTTGTATGTATACCTGAATCTGGATATACCAAAAAAACCCCAACCCCTAGTACAGTCAAATCATTTACAACATGGAAAATATTTTCTAAAAATGTCAATAGCTTTAATATAAGATTATATTTGAGGTTTAGATCACTTCATTTTAAAACATTTATCATCCTGTTCCTGAGATTTTTTTTTAAGTGGCCTGTGTTTACGTAAGATAAAGCAAGCATTTTGTGCTCCCTCTGCTGGTTCTTCAGTATCAATTAACTTTTTATAAGCTGCACTGACCATGAACATAGCAGAAAACTTAAAGGACCCATATTCATTTCAGTATCCTTTCAAAATAGAGGGAAAAATAAAATCTCCCTTTAAACTTCACAGATGGTATTATAAGCAAGTAACTTAACATCTGAATCAAAGCTAATCGAAACTCACTGTAGATAGGAAATGCGTGAATTTTACATGCACAGAGGTGCACTTAATGTCTTTGGAGAATTTTATGAAGTATTTCTCAGTGGACCAGATCCTACAATCTTTTGTCAAGAATCTTCCGGGAAGTCAGTTAATCAATGGCCTGGCTCTGTGCCAATGGAAAGACTGCCTCCAGTCTTCAGTGATCTTCTGCTCCAGCATACCAGGGTTTCCCAAAGGTATTAAAAGCATTAAATTCAATAGGATATGGACAACCAAGTTCAGGATATGCACTTTTATCTCTTTAACTACACCACCATTTTAACTACCTTCATATAATGATACCATCATGCAGGCATAATTTTGCTGGTATATTTGTGTTTATATTCCTCCAGCTTACACACGTGGAATCAATTCTACTGATATGAGGCACTTTTATACTGGTATAAAATTAAAGGCTGGCCTGGTACAAATATTCTGGGAACAAACCTCTAAAGTGTCTTTAAATAGACATTTTCAACCTTTCTCTGTGCCTAACCTGGACCAAATGAACTATTCCAAACCAGAAATTTTACCACACCTTCAGCTCTCTTGCAAAATATGAATTTTCATTTCTACCCAGGATAACTTTTACAATCTCTGCTCTCTCCTATGCCTGATGAAGAGTGTGTGTGCCTGAAAGCTTGCAAATAATTTGTTTACAAATTATTGGTCTAAGAAAAGATATCAGTAGATATCATTAGTTGGTCTAATAAAAGATATCACTTCTTCCATGACTTTTGATTCAGCTTT